CTCTTCTCTCAAGGCCGTCAGTTCAAGGCACTCGGGCACAAACCTCACTAAATCTCGGGGATTTTAACGTGGGACCTTCAGACTTTTAACAGAACACGCTAACCTCACTAAACCTTGCTAAAACCAAGGAGCTTACGCCCAGCGAATTTAACGTGGCGACCCTTTCTGGTCAGATAGTGCTCAAGCACGTTCCGCTTCGATAGTCCGGCCGTGGAGGTTGCTACCTACTACTACGATGCACTACTACTATTACTACTACTACTACTACTACTACTACTACTACTACTACTACTACTACTACTACTACTACTACATACATCGCAGACGCAATATCCACGGCCTCAAGAGATTCGCCCCTAAAAGCAGTCTATGCTGTATGCTTCAAAGCAGCCCATGTGACGTTGCAAAATATTAGGGGCGAATATCCTTAAGCCGTGTTTCTTGCGTCCACGATGTATGAAGTAGTAGCAGTAGTAGTAGTAGAAGTAGTAGTAGTAGTAGTAGTAGTAGTAGTAGTAGTAGTAGTAGTAGCAGTAGTGTTGTTGTTGTATTCATCGTCGTCGTCGTAGTAGGTAGCCACCTCCTCAGCCGGACTATATAGAAGCGGCACGCACGCACTCTTTTGAATTCAGGAGGAAACCCACGCACGATATTCATAAAGATATAGTTGCTTTTGATAAAATATGATAAAATAACCTACAGAGACGAGTATCGCTGACTTAATCTGCGATAAAAATTGCCTTGAATTTGATGCTTATTAAATATCACAGCATATCCACGTATTGCATGATGATCAGTGGGGGGAAGTGTACGTCCATTCGTTCCTTCTTGCTTCCGTCCATCCGTACATCTGTCTGTGTGACCGTTCGCCCAATCATTCGTCTGTCCGTGTGTTCACGTATGTGTCCATCCGCCTGTCCATATGTGCATCCGTCCATGCGTCCGTCCGTCTCGGCGTCCGTCCATGTGTGCGTTCATCCGTGTGTCCTCCCCAGTGGTCGTTCGTGCGCCTGTCTCTGCGTCCGTCGGTGCGTCCGTACATCAATCCATGCGTCCCTCCATGCATCTGTCTGTCTTTCCATCCGTTCATCTAGCGAACACTCCAACTACCGCCATCTTGCATCTTTTCATCATAAATTCAGCATAGAGGTGGCACTCGCGCACTTTCTGACTGCCTGCGCTCCGTGTCTACCTCACCCTTTTCACCGCATCTTTTTCATGGCTATAGACACTTTTACTGTTCACAAACACAGCCCCTTAATGACACCTAGCTTAGTCTACGGATGTGCCAAAATAGCATCGGTTGGTAAGAAGAGCTTTAAAAAATAGCGCGCTGATCTTCTACACTTTCTCTTCCTTACTTAGCTAAATATATTTAAATATTTTTTTTCAGAGCTATATAAAATTAAAAGATATTTCTTGAACTATGTGCACGTTCCTGCTATCTGAAAAACTAAAGAGAGACAGTGCTTGCAGTTTAGACGTTAAGAACTGGTAAATGAGGTTACCGGAGGTTTTCTGGGTTACAACGCTTATGACCTTGAAACCGTTTATATACTAGTTCACTATATTCATGGCGCTGCGGCCAAACTATATATTCTAGTTCATTATTGATCTCAAGGACATGCCAATACGCCACCTACGTGGTGACGTCACTCATAGGTTGTCAGGTTGTGTTCTACCAGAACACCGCATTTTGAGTGCTTTAGCGGTGCGCACCGTGCGTGCTTCCCTTTGTTTTGAAGCTCAGTGCTTAAAGAAGGGGTAAGACCTGATAACACTGGCAAGCAAACTACAAATAGGTGCCCACGGTGGCACTCTACTGTCTACTTTGCATCGTAAAATGGCGACTAAAACCAGTGCAGCCATGGGGGACGATTCAAGAGGTGTCACGAAAACAAAGGTGCCGTATTCCATAACTACCCTAGCTGTGACGGCTCTCTGCTCTACTGGCTGTCACGGCACGTGAACAACCAACTTCTATTCAGTGAGATATGTGAATTCTACGAGCCCATGCTGAAACATACTTACATAACGAGCAAACACTACCGTAGGGCCCTGCACCCCAGCTAGTGCGCTGCTTTCAGCGCCACGAGTGGTTGATCAGACCCGATAATGTCTACAGCATAAAAAAAAGGTTTTTTTCTTTCTAACGCAAGGATTTGAACCCGTGCCCTCATGCTCCGAAGTCGAGTGTCTTTACAACTACGCTATAGATAGATAGATAGATAGATAGATAGATAGATAGATAGATAGATAGATAGATAGATAGATAGATAGATAGGCTTAAAGTCGCCAAAGCTCGCTAAGAATTGCTTCGCATTTAAAATATGCATGTGACCTGAGCAAGTTCTTCTAAGGTCGCATTTTTAAATACGAAGCATTTCTTAGGGAACTTCGGCGACTTTGAGCGTATCTATCTATCTATCTATCTATCTATCTATCTATCTATCTATCTATCTATCTATCTATCTATCTATCTATCTATCTATCTATCTATCTATCTATCTATCTATCTATCTATCTATCTGTCTATCTATCGATCTATCTCTCTATCTTGCCGCCTGCGACTTTTATCTCTACTGGCCGTTTCAATAATGGTTCCGATTCCAAACTTACAGAACTTACTCTGCTACCCACCGGCGATTGCATGAATTTTTCCGTCTCTATGTTGTAGTCTTCGTGTTGATATGTCTTGACTATGCAAACTTTAGCTTATCTTGTCATACCGCATGTCTCTATGTCAACATTTCTGTGTATAATCATTCCGCAAAATTGTTATTCCGTAAAATTTCCGTGCCATCTGTACCTTTTGCAATACAAAGTTATCTATGCTGTACTAAACAATTAAATGCAAAATCTCACTGTGACTCTCTGTATGCTACTCGTATTGCTTGATGTAGTACAAACAATTTCTTCAATATTGCTCATGTATGGTAAGTATGATCTTACAATCCCTTTTTTACTGTCAACGTCGTGTGTTGCCAATTGTCAAGCTGCTTCGAGCAGCTTTAGCCCTGAAGGCTAACCAGAATTTCTCTGATGACGTAAACTTTGACTTTGACTTAGCTTCTTGCTCAAACACTTATCCACTCATAGCTGAGATTGTGTACTTGTCATATTTCTTGAGGACACCAAATAATGACAGGTACGAAGCAGCTGACAGAACTTTTAAGCTTGGTAATTGCCATTTCCAAAGTGAAAGTGCCTCCGCATATTTTTGCACTGAATGAAATTGCTTCTTCAGTATGTAGGGTCATCGACAAGTTTCTACTGAGACGATGTGGGCTATGATAAATCTTTGATCTGAACTACAACAAACGTCTCTAAAATTTTCTATTATAAAGCCGTCATTTTAGTAGTTATGTCCACACTCTCCACGTGCTCGAAAAATATGATTGCAATGAGTGGTGGTTAACTATGGGAACCCTTCAATTTTCTTTCTCAAGTGATGAATTGTCATTGATTGTACGAGATGTTAAATGCGTGGAGCGTTATCTTAATCAGTGTTCGCACCCATGCTTATGCTTCAATTTTTGAAGTAATTTAACAACTAGTTTAAATTTCTTTTTATGTTCCTTCTCTACTTGTTCGTTTTTTTTATTTTAGGAACCCACTTTTATTTTTATTTTTATTGCTGCAGAACTAAAAAAATGGAATAACTGAGGTCAGTATAAACTTCAAACTCTTCATCACAATGCACATGGAACAGAAAATAGTAGCACAGGATTCAAAATTGTTGCGATGACAGAAAAGCTGGAGTATCCGACTGTACCTCACACTCTGCTTGTGGAAGCAGTAATGATTGGAGCAAAAGATCGCAGTACCAGGCCACCAGGTAAGTCGTACTATATCGTTATTTTTAAGTTTCCCTGATTAGTAATTTCAGTTTGTCTGTGTTAAATTTTGAACTTGGCTATATTCTTGTTTTGTGACATACTGACAATAGATCTGTTTTACGCACGTTTCCTTTTTTATTTATTAGTCATCTTTTGTGCTGACTTACAAGAAATAGAGGGTGGCAATATCTTGCCTGCGAACAATGCCGTATGACAGACCAAACACAAAGAAAACCAACACAAGGAATTGGAATGAAACCAATTGGAGCTCATGTATAGGGCAACATACCATAACAGGCTAGCAAATTTTCGAACGCACGAGAATCCTAAAAGTTAGACGAGTTGATGATCTCCTGGAACATGGTTTTTACTATTAGAGAGAGATAGAGAACGTGAGTCAAGTGCACAACGTGTACTGAAAGAAAATCTCTCATATCGTTTTCATAATAAACTATTTGCCTAATAACCTGCTTTCGTTGATTTCTCTCCAAGCCTGCTAGGTCTAAGCATGTCTTAGTGTGGAAAGCCAGAGAAAGCAATCGTGAAGAAAAAAGAAAAACTTGCAAACAATAAATCAGAAAAGCTATTTGATTCCATATCTCAAAAAAAAAATAAAGAGTGTGCCTCAGCAACAGATTTGCTAGACGCATGACCGCTACTAATTTTTCAACGACAAAGTCTTTTTGCTCTGATCTCAGTCTACATACCACAAAGGAGAGGTAAACAAAGGAACGCTTGCAGCTAGTCCAGGTTTCCGCATTGTTCCATATAAGGGTCATCTTTCCAGTACGAAATGAAACTGACAGATGGTGGAAAAGAACGGTAAATATCACACATAGTGTGCAAAGTTGTCGCTGATACTGCGAACGACAAAAAACAACTGTCAGATCTGTTTTCCTTTTCGGCAACGTCATTGCAGATAAAACAATGAGTGAGATTCCTTTCGTTTGCGCACGTGCGCTTCATTGAAGAAGAAGCGCGTCTTGTCACATGCAACTTCAAGAACTACCCATGCAAGCCATGCAAACAACCATTCACCTTGCATAGAAAAAAAAAAGCTTTTGTTTTGCACAAGATTCGCAACATTGACTTGACAGATAATAAACAAAGTTTGCAAAGACAGGCTTGGTTATTGTGGGCCTTCGCCAATAAAAAGCTGAAGTGGATTTTGGGAGCGCAGCATTCGTAAACAGAGGAGCTGCTCATTCTTTCGTAACACGGCATAGCCAGATCATCCCAAAACATGAAAACCTTCATAGTTGCATGCCTCTTGGCTACTGGTAAGCAAGTCCACGTAATCTTCTTTTATTTAAGGCTCCTGCTAATACACACATCAAAGTATTGCTACAAGTAGAGCTGTCTTAGTGATTACTTATATGGGAACTTATACTGTTCGAGAATATTTGTAGGCCCGCCGTGGTGGTCTAGTGGCTAAGGTACTTGGCTGCTGACCCGCAGGTCGCGAGATCGAATCCAGGCTGTGGCGGCTGCATTTCCTATGGAGGTGGAAATGTTGTAGGCCCGTGTGCTCAGAGTTTGGTGCGCGTTAAAGAACCCCAGGAGGTCGAAATTTCCGGAGCCCTCTACTACGGCGTCTCTCATAATCATATGGGGGTTTGGGACGTTAATCACCACAAATCAATCAAATCAATGAGAATGTTTGTAGCTTTGAAACAGTGTGGCTTGTAGAACAAGTTGCATGGTTGCGTGCTAAATAATTAGAGGTAATGGAACTGTGCGAAGAATTCCATGGTTTGAGGTAGAAAACTGAGCTGGGCGCAAAGCAGCAAGCTGCTTCTGTTATGTAAAATCGCTTCATATAACATACATTCTTAACATAAAGACGTGGCCTCTGATAGTGCAGCCATCAATTTCGTAGCTTTGAGGCAATCGATCCACATACGCATACAAGTAAATGCTGACTCAGCTACACAAAACATTGCAGCTGTTGTTTACAAGCATTTTCTCTCAGAAAACCATGGTATGACATTCTGTGAAATGTGCACAATATGTTACAATGAACGTCTCAACGAGTCGATATAACGTCAGGGAAACTTCCAAGCATATTGCGAAGGGTGAAGGTCGTAATTTTTTTGCAACTAGAAAAAAAACAATACCCCACTTAATTTTAAGGGTCATTCTTCTACGCAGTTCATAGTTTTTTCTGTAACTGAATGTGTATGTAACAAATATACTATGCCACAACAGCGCCTTTAGGAAAAGAATCAGGAATGTTAGCCACCAAAAACAATTTATTGAAGTGAGATGTTTGCTAAAGATAAAGTGCCTATTGCAAAGGAACCAAGCAAAAAGTTGAGATTGCCTAACTCTGTACAAATTCAGATTTTATTCGCCAGGCTTGCGCAATATTGGACTTCATCCACGATCACTAGGGACCTAGGAAATTAATACCGTCAAAAATGGTGATTGGTGGAGTTTAACAATAAAATTAAAAAAAAAAATATTAATTCTGACCGAAATGTCGCGCACACACAACAGCAGCGCATGCTTTATACACACACAGTAAGGCTAATTTTGTCAATGCGATGGCATGGCAAATGCGTTGAACAGTATAAAAAATATCTGACGCCCATTTTGTTTTCAACAGTACTTCATAACACTGCAACCAGCAAAGAGCACACACGCAAAACGTGTCCAATGGTTTAATGTTTTCTGGTCCTAATGAAGAAGTTGTGTTCACGATGTATAAAAATCGATTTTTCAAATTTTTATTGCCAAAATTTAGACAGATCTCAGATACCATGAGAGTTTATTTTATGCGAAGCATGCAAAGGGCAGTTGACTATGGTGTAATTTTCATTAATTTAACGTAATTCTGCGAAATAACATTAAAATAAATACAAGTGTACGAACCAACACTATTTGAATAGTCGTAGGTGTTTTATGTAACTATTATTTATTGTTGCATAAAGATGCCGATAGCAACAAGGAGGACACGAACATCGAAAGCGTGAAAATGATACGCAACACTCATTCTTGCTAGGATGGTAGCCCTGTCGTAAGCTGCGTAGAGTCACTTCTGTCAATGGCACTTTAGTATATGATTGACTTTAATCTAACAAAACGCCCGTACTGCAGGACTACTCATATACTGTCAATAAATTTACATAGTGAACTCCAAAACCGTAGATGATGTTTCACCAGCCTTACCCCTGAATTGATTCTTTTTTCAAAGCAGTTTTGAGACCTAGCGCGACTCTGTGGTAGTGTACTTGACTGCCACGCTTAATGCTCGGCTTGTATTTTTGCTGACACAGTGATACTTACTCTTTGCATTCCTCGGGCAAGCGCTGCCGACGTCAGGTTTCTTAATGCTATCACATATAATTTGCCAATGTCTGTTCTCACTGCTGCTAGGTAGATATAAACTGTCAACAATTACGTTAACGAACTCACCACATTAATACAATTGCATGTGCCACATATGTCTGGATAAAAGGGCTTTATGATACGGGCAATAGGATTTCAGCATTAATTGATTGGTATGAGAGGTTTCCCGTCCCAAAACCAATGTATGACTACATGAGACGCCGTAGTGGAGGGTTCCAGAAATTTCGACCAACGGGGGTTCTATAATGTGCACCCAAATCTGAGCACTTAGGGCTACAGCATTTTTGCCTCCATCAAAAATGCAGCCACCGCAGCCGGCATTCGATCAAATTTCAGCGTTAGTTGTTAGTTATGTCATGAATAGCCAGACATATTAGTCAAACCTTCTTATCATCTTGAACTAATTCAGCTTTTCTACAAGTGACGAAGCCGATAACGAGGGCACCCAAAGCAGATAGATAGATAGATAGATAGATAGATAGATAGATAGATAGATAGATAGATAGATAGATAGATAGATAGATAGATAGATAGATAGATAGATAGATAGATAGGAACGCTCAACGTACCTGCAGTTCACTAGGAAATGCGTCGAATTGAATAATGTTGAAGTAAACTTGGTCTAGCCTACCCCTACTTGCGGTAATTTTTTTGCGCTGAAAATGCTCGAAATCAAGTCAATACCTCGTTGCTCATAACAGCTAGAAAAATTCCCCGAGTTAATTAAAAAGATGATCATGTTGTAACTGTCCGAATGACAAGATCGAAATCTTGATTAATTGACATGTCGGGTTTAACGTCCCAAAAACACCACATGATTATGAGAGACGCCGTAGCAAAGGGCTCGGGGAATTTCTACCTCATGGGGTTCTTTAACGTGCACCCAAGTTTGAGAACACGTACGTACAGTATTTTCGCCTCCATTGAAAGTGCAGCCGCCGCAGCCAGAATTCAATTCTGCGACCTGCGGGTCAGCAGCCGAGTACCTTATCCACTAGACCACAATGGTGGGGTCACATTATCGAAAGTATACGTTAGGAAAGTTACGTGAGGCCAATGGTCAACAGGTCTTATGAAAGACGACCACTGTGTTTTTGGCGTGCATTTTTATGAAATCATTCAATGGTACAACTTGCAGCTGTAAAATTGTATATTATAAGTCATGTGTGGTTGTCCATCACATAACCTAATAAGTGTACATTACTTTTCGAACAGTCCTTCAGAACTTTTTTTTCGTAAAAGACTTCATTTTTGTAAATGAAAGATATTGAACAAGATATTCATTGGAGGCAACGCTTCGACCATCAGACTAGTCTTTGCTAAGTCCATTTTTGTCAAAACCCCTGTTCATGGACCCTGTTCAAAAATTTTTTATGTTATTAAGCACCCATCTTTATTTCGATTTCTTTTATATTTATGATCACTCAGAACTCATTAGGCTATTTTTGTGATAGTACATTAAAGAACAGTTGATTTTCGGCCATGCTATCACCCGTTGGCGATGACTAATTGTACAACATTGTGAGTTCCTTAAATGCACCGGCCAGATGAGTGCATTGCACTTGAACAACACCACCAAACAATACCACCAAACACCAGACATACAACATCTTGCGTGACTTTTGCTTACTTATTCCTGTTTTTTGCCCTGCTGTTAAAGTACAGTGAATTTTGACCTACTGGCCCCGCCTGCCTTCCTTGTTCTGTGTAAGTGCTTTGAATGAACCAGCCGTTGATCGCTCAATTCGTTTTAGCAGCGTGTCACTGCAAAGAGCGCAAATTTTTTTCCCGTTTTTTTTTCTGTGCCCAACCATCTCACGATTGCCAGCAGAACCCTCCTATGCTTTTCTATACTTTTATGCTTTTTTCTCATGAGTGTTGGATTTCTTCCAGCCACGCCCGTGATGGAAATATCATAATCATGTGATTTCTGATTCCTGTCTCTTGTGTAAACTTATTTGCTTTCATTTATTTATTTATTTATTTACTTATCCGGTTGAACATTCTACCCTATCTTGTTACTTGTCCCCCCTTATGTAATGCCTTCTGGCCTTTAAGGGCGAAATAAAGAAATGAAATGAAATAACACTAATACCACATGGTGTCTTGCCACAGCGGCTCTTGCAACTGAACAAGGGCCACGTGGTGCTAGAAGCAATGTTGGAGCCGCTAGTGGAATCAGCACTAGGCTGTATGCCGGAGGGGAACGAGTCGGTCCTAGCGGCGCGCCCGGATTTACCGCAAGCATTGGAGGACACGTCGGTGCAAGACTCGGGGGTCAGGCTGGTATTGGCGCAGGCCCATATGGTTACGGTAAGACACCTCTTTAATGTGACGTCATAAAATGACGCATTCAGCTTTAGAACACATTTTTTATTGATGTGATGTAAGTTTATGGCACACCAATAGGGCACCAGCTATTCCTTATCCCTCAAAACGTTATAAGAAAGTTCACGTAATGTCAAACTCTCCATGTGTATAGTATATTTTATTTTCTTTCGAACGCATGCAGTACTCCTAATACAAATGTTTAGTCACCCTTGTTATAAGTTTGAACGCACAGCCATGTGCACAAATTTGCCCCACATATGCACGGCATCTCCGGGAAACACTAAATTGCATTTCGAACTGCTGCCAACTGGACCAATATTTACTTCAACTGCTTTTCGTATGATGGCGCTGCTTCGCTTAGTCCCCTACTTCAACAACGTCTACAACGTTAAAACCTATTTTTAAAGCTACTGCACAATACTTTGTCCGCGGTGCGTCATGGGTACCAGGGTCGCACTTTTCTCCCTGTGATGTTTACCTTATATTATAACATACGTCTTGACAACACTTGAGGCGGGCAGATTGAGAGAGCTAGCATTTGACAGAGCATAATTAGCGCAGCACATCAGTCCGGTTATGGTTGATATACATTTGGACGGGAAATGGGACAGCCCATTCGGTGATCTGTTACCCAGTGAACTGACCAGAATATCAATAATTAAATTAAATTATTTTTCACTGGTGTTCATTTGCATACAATACTTCATTTATCAGTGTTACTTGAATACAATGAATAAATACTACCCGTTCATAATCGAAATTTTGACATAAAATTCATAAAAATTTCGCATACACCTGTTATTCTGAAAACCGATGCGATGCAAAGCAGTAGACGAGTAGTGGCCTCCACAACATAATTTACATAGCTTTGAGTTAAGCATTGCGACTTTCACTGACTTCTTTGTGCATTTTGACAAACTATGGGAAAATATTGTTCCGGCTCGCAGCAAGCAATGTTTCTTTTTCCCAAGGAGTGCTGAGACACTTGTCGAAGGTCTTGACTATTTGACAAAAGCACCTATTTTCAGGAAAGTATTTATTTGAAGAAGCAACAGCAATGATGGGGAACGAGTCTTTAGGACGCCTCTATCCTGTCTACCCCAGATACAGGATTGCTTGCGGGTTTGTAAGGCACGTCGGTTACAGTTGTGGTATTTGGTCAGACCATTCTCTGCTCCGATGTAACGATGGTACTGATGTTAAAGTGCAGTTGATATAAGCGCACGCTATAATGTGGTTATGTGCATATCATGAGTGATTTTCAACGACGTTTTAGTGTTATGCAACGATTGACCACAGCTTGGTGAGACACAAGAAGTATATGCAGTGTTTGTTACATGGTTACAAAAACCGATAGAGAACACAGCATTCATAGTGGACGTTGGCGTGGTACAAAATGATTTGATATCATTTTACGATTCTCGTCGTAAGTTTCTACAAGCAGTGGCGTATACCTATGTGGTAGAATATTTGACTGCCTCACAGAATACCTGTGTTAAATTTCGGCTCTAAAAATTTTCCACCTTATCGTTCCTCCTATATTTTCATCGCCGACAACACTGCTGACACCTACACCCCATTTTCTAGCACACAAACTTCATAAGGCGATGGCGCAAACATTTTTCCTGAACCGTAAAGATTGGCCCCTCATATTCTGGCACACAGTCTTCATAATGCGTTCGCGTATTTTTCTTGGTTAGATACAACTGTAAGTCACCAATTTCTTGTATCCGCATTCCAGGGGCTGTTTTACCCGAGTACGAGTCACACGTGACTGAAGGAAAAAGTTTCAGATGGTGTACGCGCCAAGCTTCTCACGCAATTCATGTAGTGACCTGTTCATTGTGTTTGCTATACACGACTGCTTTTCAATGACAACTTTGGTTTTGGTTAAACTTAGCAGACGAACAAGAGAGAGCCCGCACGTTGGTGGCAGAATATACGGATAAGCAGACAGAAATGCTCAAGGTGCTTTAAGTTCACGAAAAAAGCTTCGCATTTGATCCATACATTGAAACGAGTGAGAGAGGAGCCATTGCTAAAAATAATGTGCAAGATTATTTATCTGCACGTACTGGTGACTTAACACTATCGTTTCAGTCCTGGTGTCTGTAAAAAAAGACGTGTAATAACAACTTTACAGGGGACAAAAAAAAACTCATTGACCCTTTCGCAAATGTATTGCTAATTTCGTGTTAAACTAACGTGTAAAAAGGTTTTGCCCTAGATGACAAAGATGTAGGTGGTCTTTTTTATGCTGAGTAGCTACTTGGTTATTTTGAATCATCATATTTCTCAAAACCCTATATAGCATAATATGTTAAATTTCTTGTCTGGTGTTTGAAGCTCTCATGAACATCATTTACAAACATGCATTGTGGCATGTACGCTTTCTTTTTGCTGACACTCATTAATTGAAAAAATGAAGTCAGAAGGCGCATAAATGCAGCAAAAATTGGTTCTGGAAACATACATGTGTTGTAAGTTCACATCATCTATCAAACATGTCCTTTTTTCTGTTCAATTAATTGAGAATGATGTTGCTTATTTATATATCAATGCAATAACAAACGCCGCTAGACCAATAATTAAAAGAAATTGAAGAATCAGCTATAAAAAGCAAAATTAGCTTTAGTAATAATTTGTTTGGAAGACTTCACAAGTTGATATTACATCTACAGAGTAGTGAAGGAGTAGTAAATAATACGAAACACTGTCGATGAAGCCTCGATTTGTGATATTCATGTACGTTGTCAAACAAGAGGCGTACAGATATGGGTAGTGTTGAAAGACAGCCCACATTATACCGTGCACGCATGCGTCCCTCTGATATGATCATTTTGGGAAAGGTACGTTACTGAGCTTTTATGATAACGACTGCTAAACAATGTCCCACGAGCTCTCACCCGATGCAAAAGTGCAATGAACGGCCGGGCTACAGAGGCGCGTTCCGTTTTTTAACGCTCGCGCGCCTTTCCGGTCCAGCCGTGTGGAAGTCGACAGCAATAACGTGACTGCATACTCTTTAAAAGAAAAGAGGGCAAATTTACCATGACTAATTTTACGGGAATCAACTTGCGATTTGCAGGGGGACCGGCATTCTACCCTGGCGGTTATGGGTCTCCCTGGGGTGGTGCCTACGGTGGTTATGGCCCCTTCGGAATGTCATATGGCAATGGATACTATGGCTTCAACCCGTATGGTAACTACGGTTCGTATGGTGCGTTCTACCCGTATGGCGGCTATGGAGGACATGGCGGATACGGCGGATACGGCGGATATGGCGGATATGGCGGCTATGGTGGATATGGTGGCTATGGTGGCTATAACGGATACAATCAGTACCGAAGCCACGGCCCCTATGGTTCATCCGTATCAAGTGCCGCCACTGGAAGCCAGGGTGCTGGCTCATTTGGTGAAGCACCACCAGCCATTGCTCCCCGGGCCAGTGTTGTCTCTGCGACCCCATCAGCTGGTGCATCTGGGTAAGTTCTTTCTTACCGCTTTCATTCAACATGCTAGCCCTTCTTCCCAGCTTGTAGTGGCCCTTCGAAAACATGAACCAAAGTACAAGAGTGGTCTGGGTGTTAAATCTTGGCTAAAAACTTTAGCGCAAAACTTTTTTTTCACAAAAATTGTTAGTTGTCTATTCGAACGGGTCAAACATGATGAACGCGAGTCAAACCTGATGAACATGATGAACGCTCCCTTTATAATTTTTCTCTCAAACAAACACGAGTCAATGCTAGAAAAATTGCTGCTTAATAACATTGTTTTCAATCATAAAATTATTAAGCAGACTTGTCAATATGCATGGTGGACAATTCTGTTGTTAAATTCTAGTCCACTTATTGGCGGTAAATGTGTCCCTACTATTCCACCCACAACACGCGCTTCTCGGCCTGCTTACCGCATCATGCAAGCTGATAAAAAGTCATGGCAGTTGGTGTTGCCAACTACACTCTGAACAACTTCTTTAATGCACTTGAAGTATTCTTCAATAATTCTACTACAATAATAAAATAGCCACCACTGATGACAGCCTAAACACACCATATGATGTGTTTGATGAATAGGTAGAATTGTAAAAAACTAGCTGTGATTCTGTCAATATACAGTAGCATTCTCTTCGTGGCCTTGGCAAAAGCAGCGGATCTTTCTTTCCGCCGTTATTTTATTCTTTTTTTATTTTTTCCTATTTACAACCATAAAATGAGAATGATCAATGTAGAAGAGCAAGTGAGACAGCTTGAAGAGCACGTTTATTTCGCCCTGCATGGTGGCACTGTGTCGTGGTGTCAACGTGTTGTTACAACGCACGCTCACACTTTTTTTCCTTTAAATTGTCGTACTGTGTGCGTTTCTTTTAATGGTCGCACTGCGTCCATGCGTGTCTCATTCTAGCTTTCCTCTGTGAAGTGAATTGTTGTTGCCTTTCTCCTTCCAAATCTGCAGTGCTGCACCCGCTTCTTCAACGTAAGGCATGATCATCACACTGCAAAACAGAATTTTAAAAGTAAGTCACAAGATTTCCTTTATGTAGCTAGGTCTTAGGTAAATATTACAAGTAACAAAACAAGAACAGGCATATATTATGAAGCTTCAAACGTAAAACTTTTCAAGGTATTTGGTATTGTTACTGCATGTGATTCTCACCTTACTCGAGGTAACTGCAGCTAATGTAATCATTAGCCTTTTTTCCTTTTTTCTCATTATATATATATATATATATATATATATATATATATATATATATATATATATATATATATATATATATATATATATGGCAGAACGGGAGCGTTGTCAACAAGAATAAATATATTCGTTGACAACGCTCCCGTTGTGCCATATCTCATACCTTCAGGAAGACTAACTGGCCCATTGAAATATTACTCCCACTATATATATATATATATATATATATATATATATATATATATATATATATTGAGAAAAGAAGTGTCTATTAGGCAATCATTTTTCCGTGTTTGACACAAAATGATGAGATATAACAGGCAAGAATACGAAGGAAAGTATAGCGGAGATGTTATTAGGCCGAATCGTATTGTAAATGTGAAGAAAGCAAAGAGGATGGAATGATGACTTGCTGTGAGTAGGAACCGATTCTACGACCTTCGAATAACGCGTTCGATGCTCTACCACTGAGCCATGATGGCGGCTGTCCCCCCAGCCACTTTATTGGATATATATGTAAATTTTAAACGTGGGAGTGTTAGTCAGCGCCACCAGTTAGCATGGCGGCGAGTGTGGGACATTCTTTATGAGCCTGTTTGAACTTATTTAGAGCTGGCAGCTGACCAATAGTCCCTCGTATACAACCTAAAGGCACCAAGTCTGCCAGTACAAGACCATCGTTAATGAATAATGGAAAGAAATAAAGAAATGCATACTTAAGGGCTCGTTTTTGTGTTTGACACAATATGAGATCGACCGGATAATAATGTCAAGGAAAATATAAGGGAAATTATTAGACTGAATTATAAAGTATTGTGATAGAAAAGAATATATATATGGGGAGAGAGAGAGAGAGAGAGAGAGAGAGAAAGAGAGAGAAAGAGACATTGGCGATTGGTCTCAGGTACACTACAGTGATGACTTATTATGAACAACAGTTCATTGCTCATTTCTTTCTTGTTATTTTTTTTCAGGTCATCCGAATCACTGACGGAGTGTATACTCAAGAACGTAGACAGAAAAAGTGGAAGAGTCACTGGTATCTATCACTGGTATTATAAGACCATTTTATTTCCTTCAAAGAAATAAATAAATTGTCTACTGCGCGTATCATAAGTCCTGTTTAGTCTCCGCTGTTTGATCGCTTGGGACACCTGCTATCAGCATCGCACTGGCTTCGTTGCAAATCAACAACAACAGTTGCCGAAAACTTAACCTTTGAGGGGTCTCTCTACTTAGCCAAATAGTTTTAGTTAACATTTAAAACAGTGTGCATATTTCTGCTTATATGAGAAGTTTACTGGAATGCCAGTGTATTTTTCTCACAAATTTATGAAACTCATAACTCGAGAGTTATAGTATTCATAGTTAGCAAAGAGGTAGATTTCAATACAATTCCGCATTATTAAATTTCGTTATATGCAATTATTCGGCAAGAATTTATTATTTGAGAAGTTCCTGAGTTAGCATATTTAATTAATCAAACAGCCATTGCAATTCTTTTGGTTCTACTGTATGATCATTCTAGCAATGCAACTTAACCATGTGAATTCTGCCTCGTGCTCTAGCAAATTTGTAAAATCTCTGAACTTGAAAAAGAAAACGATACATGTAGTGATGGTCATTGTGTACCAAATTCTTTGGCAGATGTTTGAACTAATCATCAAGCAGCTTTTTGCAGACGAAAACGTCAGACAGATTTACAGGCTGGTGAAGTAAACTACTTAGTTCTTTACAAACTATCAATAAAAGATTGTGACCATGCAATTTTTATAGGACCAATGTATCTGTTTAATGGCAGGTCACTATCCGTCTTTTATTTTGATGGCCGACGTGGCAGTCACATTTGACTGGAGGTGACGTGCTGGAGGTCCGTGTATTGTGCAATATCTCTGCATGCTAAAGAACACCTGATTTACGAAGCCCTCGGTCACATCGTGTGCCTCATAATCATAGCATGGTTTTAACATGTAAAATCTCAGATAATATTATATCAAATATAGTGAGTGACAGGTCTCTAACGCTCGGCAGTGAGTATGTCGTGCATTGGTGGGAATGTTTTGTGACGTAGTCATCACCCATGAAACAGCAGACATAGGAAAAAGAGTCACTGCATGAATGCGTGTTCGTATAGATGAACACAAAAAGGCAGACAAGGTCAAGAGAGTCGACTTTGATTGAAAAAAAATGGCACGCAAACATTTCTTATTGATTTCGCTATCATAATAAGTTGCTCTTTTCAACGGTTTCTATGAATTTTGGACGGAGGTCTTACTGAAAGCCCTTAGAGGCCTTACTCACTGAGATAAAGTAATGCAGTCAAAGTGTCAAAACTATGTTTGGTGTCGAAGAAGTCTGTTGCCCGGTTTGGGGGTGGATGTTGCCAGAAATACGCCAGTTCTGGCAGATTACTTTCCTCTGTAGCTATTACTTTTCCCTGAAGACTATGCATCATCCATCGTGCATTTTGCGAGTGCCTGTACGACGTCAGCCGTTTTAAAAATGAAAGAAACTTACACAGTGCGTTCCAGAAGTAGGGGCACGCCCTCTTGCTGTGTGCGCAGCCCTGAAATTAAGAGATTGGGCTTGATCGTGTCTCAGAATAGCTAATATCTCAAGTAAAATCATGTATAGTTGTCCGCATCGCGTTAGCGCACTTCAAATCACCCACCGAAAAGTGGTCTCTCTGACGCCTTTGCTGACGTACCTAATGTTACCTGTCCTTACTGCGCCGCTATTAACACCACTAGCAGCAGAGCGAAAGGAGCAGGAGCCACAGCAGCAGACGCTGCCATTGAACGATTTTCTTCATACTTGTTCAGCTGCGCTCTACTAGATAGCACCACCTTATAGTCTTACCTAAAGCTTTAGCCTTACCAGGAGGGAAAATAACTTTTTAAACGCCCACGCTTTTCCAAAAAACTAACATCTGGCGGTTCTTTTCTGCATACATCAAACAGAAAAGGCAAACCAGCATTCTACTGCGTGTCTTGATGCACGGAAGGATCTGTTGTATTGCAGCCAGCTTTATTAGAATAAGTAATTGTAGCCGGATGCTCTTACATCATAGGATTGCAGAGGTGAAGAAGATAGATCAAAAGTTTTCTAGCATCCAATTATAGACTAATTGAATGAGGTGTAAGTGTTCAACAAAAGCCAATATTAGCACAAAGAAACACTGGCGGTGTTTGATCTGCAAGCAGTTTCAGAGCAATAAAACACTTCGTTCTGTCTATATTGTTGCCTGGAGACCAAGGAGAGGGGCAGAGCAAACTTGAAGTCTTTCTACTGCAAAAAACAAACAAAAAATTGGCAGATTCCACGTACAGTGGGAATCGATCATATGCGAAGCACGATTGAGAAATGTTGATACGTCACGTTAAATTTAGCACAACTTTACGAGGCGGGGGTAAATGATACCATACGCGACTTCCGTGTCATGATTATCCTGTTTGGATGTGTCGTTTACCTTTGTCATCTATGCACGTCATGTGATATCAGATTCGGTATATGTGGAGATAGAAAAATGGCCGTGAGCACGCTATGAGCGTGGGATGTTGTCATTTTCTTACATGACACGCGTATCAATATTATCATGTTTGCACCAGTCATATATTTTGTCATTCATTGACGTCACGTTACACCAAATATGGTATATGTGGAGCTGGCAAAACGGCCACGAGCACATTATGAAGGGCCCAATATACTCCAACGTAAATGCGACATGCAGCGTTTCGCGCCGATGCATTACGCAGACAACACTACGTCTTTCTCTTTTCGTGATGGAGGGATGCCGGACGCGCTGAAACGCGCATGCGTCAAAGCAACGCAGCGCAGCGCGCGCCTGCGAGGATATGGCAGGACCGGCGCCTGGCGTGGAAACGCCAGCATCACGTGACGAAATGAATGCCGCCGAGCACGCGCACCGCGTTGATTGTTATATAGGGTTTAACGTCCCAAAACCACTATATGATTATGAGAGACGCCGTAGTGGAGGGCTCCGGAAATTTAGACCACCTGGGGTTTTTAACGTGCACCCAAGTCTGAGAACACGGGCCTACAACATTTCCGCCTCCATCGGAAATGCAGCCGCCGCAGCCGGGATTCGAACCCGCGCCCTGCGGGTCAGCAGCCGAGTACCTTAGCCACTAGACCACCGTGGCGCGGCCACGCGCACCGCGTCACGTCGAAATGTATTGGCGCCTTGACTGTGGCATGTAGTCATGTTACGCATGACACGCATCTCATAATTATCATGTTCGAACCAGTCACACCTTCGTCATCCATTGGCGTCACGTAACACGAAATTTGGCATATGTGAAGCTAGCTAAACGGCTGCGAGCACATCATAAGTGTGGCATGTAGTCATGTTGTTACATGACAAGCATGTCATGATTATCATGTTTGGGCGTGTCATTTACCTATGTCGTCCGCTCAGGTTGCGTAATACCAACTTCGGTATAAGTGAAGCTAGCAAAACATCCGCCTGCGCATCATGTCAATGAGCGTGGCATGTAGTCAAGTTGTTACATGACACGCATCTCATGATTATCATGTTTGCAGCAGTCACATACTTTCGTCATTTATTCACGTACTGTAACACCAAACTTGGTATATGTGACATAAGCGAAACGGCTGCGAGCACATCATGAGCGTGTCATGTAGTCATGTTGTTACATGACCCGCACGTCATAACTTTTATGTTAGGGTCATTATTTAGCACATACCTTGTACCTAAAATAATGTTTCTGCATTTCTGTATAATTGTAGGGAGTGGAATAAAAATAAACGCGCACTATTTTAAAATATTTGTTGCATTTCACCCCACCCTACCATTTGTATATACATAGGCTTTTCAGATTTTCAAGTTCGCTCAGTCACAATCATTACATTTCGAATTCAATCTTCCTACTCTGCTCAACCCCACAACTATACTACCATGCCCGAAAAAAGAATCTCTATGCCCTTGCCCAGTTGCTTAGAAAATAAATTCTGAATTCATTTTTTTTTCTGCAATGTAATCATAGAAAAGGCTGCCAGGTCCAGCAGATCGAAACTTATATACAAGTGATGACGAGCACCGTAGATTTGAAACAAAAAAGAAGAAAAATTGCCGCTCTTCTCCGGTTTGCACAGGGCAGCTTTTTTTTTTCCTTATCTCTACCAGGTCGCGCAGACTCCACCAGATCACTATGCAGTCGCTATAAACATGTCCCTTCAGTAATTCATTTCCAAAGGTCTCGGCAGAAAGTGTAGGGGCCGTGCTATGTTCACTCATTCAGCATTTTTTATGTTTTTTTAGTATTTTCATTGTCATCTTCAAGAATCCACGCTTATCGGTTTTCGATGCTACGACTGTCTTTTTCCGTGCGACACGAACCATTGTGCAATGCGAAGTGCTTTTGGAGGCAGCCTCGGACTATACCATCGATTGCTATACTAAACAGGTACGTGTATTTGCACACTTCCTACCATAAGGCAAAAGCTGTGTATGAAAAGCTTCACCAAATATTGTGAAACTAGATAAGCGTGTACTGAAGACTCTCAAGTGTGAAAGAACGATCGAAAGTTTTTTTTTTTTCTAAGGAGAATCGAGCTAGAAGCTTTTGCCAAACGTCGGCCGCGATTCGGAACCAACTCGTTCGGGTTATTCGTCTCGTCTTCTCACATCTCTTTTTATAAACTTTTCAACTCTTCTTTTTTTTCGTGAGTATATAGTATTTCTATTTGATAGACCAATCATGGTACCGAAGTTCAAGAAAGCTGTCTTGCTCTTCACCCCGAGAATGAGCAGAAATTTAAAGTGTTTTTTTTTTTAAATACCGGTGCCATCAGATAGAACTCAATTTGCTTGTTATTGAGAAGCGGAAACCATTTATTCGGGTTGCTAGCCTCTACGCCGTCCCGCCATTGCTCCTTCAACCAATTCAATTACACTCTTGTTTTCTCTGCACGATAAAACCGTAAAAACTATCCGGCTCAACACTAGCGTATTCTTTAGTTTGCCAAAGGAGAACACCCTGCGGGTATGTCACTTATTACCCTTTCACTCCTTGTTAACTTTGGATGTAGTGCATTGCTTGTAACATATCTTGTAGTATTGTGTTA